TTTCTTTATCAGACTGTATAGAAAGAAAACTTCCTTCACCCTTATGTAAAATATTACAGTGTCGGCGTCATTACTTTTGGTATGCCCTAAGTAGCAAAAACAGCTGCATCGTATTTCACATTTTAATTCCGCAGGGATTGCGCTAACAGCTTTTAATTGTATTTCCATGCTCAATGATCCGCAATAAATGATGCATGTTTCTAATGATTACTCGTGATTACTGATGATTACTGGTGATTACTCGTGATTACTGGTGATTACTCGTGATTACTGGTGATTACTAGTGATTACTGGTGATTACTCGTGATTACAAATTGATTACTAGTATTAGTAATCAGTTTGTTCCCCCTTGGTATATTGGCAAATACTAACAAATATGGTCTTAAAATAGTATATGCTATATCACAAAAGGAGAAATAGATTTGAGATAGGTACGTGCTACTAACACCTAATGATACCTGTTGTCACTCTCTCGAAGATACATAGAATATAGATATAACGTAGGCAAATGGACTATGCTCACTTCATATGATCTAGATATGCATTTCTATGATGAGTAATCAGAAACAGATTTCATTTTCTCCTTTGCATCGTTCCGAGTATATGCGCATTCTTAATAGATCACAGTATCTGTTTTATTATACTGTATTTACATAGGTTCTGTTTTTAACCAAATTAAGTCTCCTTTAAAAGTTTTATAAATTGAAAATCTTTTAAAATCTTAAAATTAAACTCCTTCAAGCTCAGTATGAGTGAAGGACAACAATATTTGGTGAGCAGGGATTGGTCACAGATCGTTCGTGATAAAAAGGGTACGGGTATGAAAATGCATCTTCTATCTTAATCGACATCCACACCCACACCCTATTTTGTAAAAGTCATATACGGTTTCGCAAAAAATAGTGAGTGTAGGTTTTAAGTTGAGGCTTTTCGGTTTTCTATCAATCCTCTCCATCACAGACCTCAGTATCCACTGTTGAAGACGCTGAACAACACCTATGACAAAATTCAGAAAGTTCCAGAACATTTCGGAACCTTTCTCGAAATTCAGTTGGGTAGAATACGTTTCCCTGTGATTGAGGTAACGTTGCTTTTGAATTTTACGCGTATGGAAATTTACCTTCAAGATATCAACAATTGTGAGTAGTGATGTAGCAGTTTGCGTAATTCTTATATTGTAAATACAAAAAGTACGAACTGGCCGCGCAATAGGTTTCTGGAAATTATTAACGTGATTGTTTCTGAGCTAGCCGATATATATAATAGTCCATTAAGACCTACTGCAGCAGATATATTGGATACTTACAACAGCCTTATTTGGCATCCAATTCAATGCTTATAGTACTAACAAGAATTAATTTAAGAAAGATGAAACATGCAAATAAAAAGAAGAAAGTGAATAGCAACATTGAGGAAGAAAAGTAGTGCGCTCGTAAACGAAGAAAACAAAATTTGTGCTCGAGGTGTAGAAATACAAAAGACAGCATTGACAGTCAATCGATCACTGTTGAAATAGAATATCGTCATCTAGAGGTTTTACGTATTGTGTATATTGTATTAGTATAATGTAAGTAAAGAGGGCATGTGAGTTCTTCATTTTAATCTAAAAGAGACGGCGCTAACCAGCTTTATATTAGTGGTAAATAAAACACACTTCAGTTCAATGATAACAATTTTACATCTACCTTTTACTTTGCATAGACACGTTTCTTGCCAAATAAAAAAATCGTAAAAGATCAACCGGCTTCTGTATTTGAAGAACGACGGATGCTCGTTTTGCGTTCTTGATATTTTGGCTGAAACTCGTTGCAAATTTTTTGTGCTTGAGAGTTCGTCAATACTCGAATAAGATTTTTTCTTTTGTCAACATTGGCGTGCAAAAAAGGCTTTTTTGTTCCAAGAGTAGTAAGGTACTCAGAAAAAAAAACTTTTGCAAAAAAACATTTCTTTCGTTAATTTGTTTTTTATAACAAAGATAATTTTTTCACAAATAACATCAGTTTGTTCGGAAAGTCCGTGCAACTCATATTCTATGAGATCATACTAGAAGAAGTGCTGTATTTAATGACTTACGAACGTAGTTTAAATGCAGTTGCACGGTCTTTCTGGACAACTTGATATGTTTTCTTTTGCCATAAGTTTAGTTTTTTATGAACAAAAAAAATCATTTTTGTGACAAAATCTACTTTAATTTTAACTCTTTGAATTCTAAATTTTAACTATGCTTCCTTTAACTTTAAAGTGAATTTAAAGCAGCACCCCTAACCAACACCTGATGTATCAATCAATTATAAATCCGGACCAAAACGTACTCCTAAACTTTTAATCAAACTTTCTAATCGAACCTGATAGTCGCTGAGAAGATACGTGTAATGGTCCCAATGAAGTGCATTCTATGAGTGATATTTAACACTCCCTTACTATTTTTTTATCCTTGGCAGCGTCCTTGCTTTTTTGTTGCTGTATTGATGTCCTTGTCTTTCGTTCTCTCTGATGCTTGCATATATAAACACGTGCTTTTAATCAAAGCGATGCGATTGTATGATGTGAAGGATAAGAATAACATATATCTCCATCCAGATTAATATCCCTTCTATCAGAGATCGTCACATACGGCATACTTCTTTATTTTTATGCTAGACAAGTAGCACATCTTACATGTTCATTACTCGATGCGATAATGATTTTATAACAATTAAGCTACAATTGGTTCTTACTCATAACGAGTAACTTCCAATGAAATAATGGATGTATGCATTAAAGTGTTGAGATTATTTCTTTTGTTAGGCAACTATACCACTATCAACAACATTTGTTTTACTTTTCACTGAATTATATGCACAAAAGTTTTCTTGCGATTCGCATCCAATCAGTAAAAATGTTTAGACCCGGACCGGGACCCGGTGGGCTCTAGTGAGTGTGGATGTGGATGGATATGGGAAGCTTTTGCATAAGTAGGTGGACATGCGACTTTTTTGCTCAGAAATGGCTTTCATTTAACTAGAAATGATAATATACCACTCAGAAAATCGTTTTTTAGAAAATAAAAAGGTTTTTCAAAACAAAAATCTTTTCGAAAAAATATGGTTGGGGAGACTCCAGCAATTTTTTTCAAAATTTTTTTCTCTAGTATGTTGGGCTGCATATCATTCAATGTAGCTTAATGGACTGATTCCGAATTTGGGTGTGGTAGTGTGTGTGGGTATTAGCCTTCTTTTGATTGATATCCACCCACACCCTGTTTTCTATTTAGTCACATTAGTAACATCAAGACAATGATACTAATAGAACTCGGGAAGAGCGCCTCTTATTATCATTCCTCGTTAACCTTTCGGTAAAAAAGATGGGTTAATGACAAACAAAATTCTTATCTTTGATTTCAAACTCACACAAGCACACATGCGTGTCATGTATTCTTTAGACAAAATCATATGCAAGTAAGAAACTGGCTATCATCACTTCGTTTAGGATTATATTACTGACATTAGCAGACTATAGAGATAGCTAAATTTTACGCAGTTCTTCTTTTCATTGTGGCACAAGGTCTTGCAGCACCATACAAATCATCAAACGGTTGTGGTTATGATGTAAAAAAGCATTCGTCCATGTAGAGTTTTCCAAATAGACGCATACTTATATTTTAGTCATGCACTTTGGGTAAATTCGACAAACTCAATGTTCATATCGTAGCTCATACACATGACGACGTTGGTTGACTAAAAACAGTCGACCAATATTATTATGGATGTAAGTAACGATTAAATTCATGTGGTAACAATGGATAATTTGCTCAATTGATTATTTAGCACGTACTGAAATCTGCAATCGAGGTGTTCAATATATTCTCGACTCAGTGGTGCTAGCACTCACGGAAAATCCCGATCGTCGATTTATCTATGTCGAAATGGCTTACTTTTGGCGTTGGTAGAATCGACAATCGAACGAAATACACAACACTGCCAAGCAACTTGTTAATGAAGGTTCGTATTAATTGAATGTAAATCAGTTATAAAACCTTTTTCAGAATATTGAAGAGTGAGCTCAAGAGAAGAAAACTATTTATTATGCAAATAGTATTTGAGAAAGCCGCAAATAAGCAGCCATTTACTTATCAATATGCAATCATTTACCGATGAATATCGTAAGTCTAAATCTGAATAGCTCACGTGGAGTTTATTTCCAGTGGTTGATCTATGCATGATGATGCAGCAACACATTACAATTCGATTATTGATCAATATAGCTTGGGTGCCGAATTCTTGCATGATACATTCGGTGAATTTGGCCGGTAAATAGATCCATTCGGTCATTCACGAAAAGTTGCTTCACTTTTTGCACAAGTTGCATTTGTTTGAAGAGGTTTTGCTCGATGTAAATGTTATTTCTTCGTAGATGGGTTTCGATGGTTTGTTTTTTGGACGTATTGATTATCAAGATCGAATATATCGGACTCCTGAAAAAAAGTTGGAAATGATCTGGAAAGGAAATGCTAATTTAGATTAGTGTCTTTGCAAATGTTTCAAATTTGATCGCATATTTTCTGAGAAATATTAATCTATAATGAACTCGCATGTAAATCTTGAAAATTTCACATTGATATGTTCGTAGGTCGTCAGAGTTGGCTCTTTACCGGTGTTCTGCCACATGGATACAGTGCACTGTTATGGTTTTGCTATGACATACTGTGTTTAGATCAACCGATTATGGTTTGCGAACATATATCAAGTCTCTATGCTCTCTGAATTGAATTCTTCTAGGATGATAGACGTTTGCATGACTGCAATGTGCCAGAACGTGTTGAAGCATTCATCAGAGCAGCACACATACAGGTTTGTTCGAAAAATGTCTTTGAAAGGCAGCTTTCTTGCAACTTTTGTTTTTCTCCTTTCTAGTCTCTTGCATATACAACCAATCATATTATCATGACAATGGATGATAATTTTCAGGATCAGAATGCCAATGAGAAATTCAAAAATTTGGACACACTAGTTCATTATGTGAACCTTGATGTATGTCATTTTCTCATATTTGATTGACTTCACTCAAAATTATATAAGCAAGAAAATGGTAGTAACGCCAATATCTTTTATTCGACACCGTCATGCTATTTGTATGCCTTGAATAAAGCCGAGAAACAATGGACAACGAAAACCGATGATTTCTTTCCATATTCCAGTATCCAATTTGCATACTGGACCGACTATTTGATTTCACGACCAGCACTAAAACGTTACGAACGTTATGCGAATAATACTCTTCAAGTAACACGTCAACTCAACGGATTTTCACAGATGAATCTACGAAGTAGCATTTTCTATTTTAGTAAGAAAACTGTGCACTCATGTGATCTATCGATTAACAATCGTACTCTGTAGGTGAAGCAATGGGTATTGCCCAACATTGTGATGCTATTAGTGAAACAGAGAAACAACATGTAGCCGATGACTATGCTCAACGATTGTCTGATGGTATCGACCGATCAGTGGTACTTGTTAGAACTTAAAGTGGATGCTATGAAATAATGAGTATTCTTTAGGAAGTCATCAACGCTGCCTATTCGAAACTATTACCCAAAGAAGGTCAAACATCGCTCAGTGTTCCTCAATTTCTTTGTCCGTACACAAATATTAGTGCATGTCTACCTATCGAAGGACAAGCCAAAGTATGTACAACTCTCGCACATAATTCGCGTGAATAATCAGCTGAAAAATAATTATACTCGATCGTAATCTGATTTTTTGAGATAACTTTATTTTCAGATGACACATTGGAGATTGTCTTGTTTCTTTTTGTAATTCACATTGACACTCTGGAATCCAACCATTCATTCGGTAACAATTTATCTTCGTGTGCCCGTTACTCGAGAATATGTAAATTAATCCGTGATCCGATTGGAAATATTGTTTCAGCTGAGGTAGAAAATTGACGATTTATAAGAAAAAAAATTTATGATTTTCTTTTCTTTCTTACAATATCTCCGATTTCGATCACTACAAAAAATGTTCCCAGTCGAACAAGTTCTGCTCAAAATCAGTACCTGTTTTAATCATCATTGACTGCACTTAGTTACAATACCTATTATTTCGAAGCGAGAACCATTTCCACAAAAGCTTTCACTTATTTTGTTTAAATTAGAAAAAAGTCAATGAAATGATAGTATATTTCAAAATACAGTGAAAAAATATACTTGAACTTCATTTTGTAAATAGAAACAATCGAGGATTAAGACAGAACTGCCGATAGACCGAATTTTCGGCAAAAGAAAACTTGATTTTGGAGGTTGCATTCTCTAATTATCATGAAATTTTGTTTATTTCTCATTCTGAAGCATGAAGTAGGAGATGAGTTTCACATATCAATACTGACAGTTTTTTCATCATTTCTAACATTTGAGCATGGAATTCGATGATCAAAGTCATTTAAAACATATTGCCAATTTGGACAAGAGCTTAATGATATCGTTCACTGCACAGGATTTCTACTGGTATGCAAGTAAGTATTATTTCATGACAACTTCGATTGAAATAAGAAACTTTTAAAAACGAAATATTTCAACAAAATAAGGTCTTTTAGACAACGATTATAATCAAATGAAAATCCAAATGTCTTTACTAATTGCTGATATCTTTGATTAAGACTTATTGAGGATAGTCAAGATTTTCTTACACTTTGTGTTCAAGGTTTTCCTGACGATCCAACTACTCGAGAATTACCAGCATCAGGTGCTTATGTCTTCCGACCGTTTGTTTCTGAAGCAGTACCTGTGAGTCTTTCAGGTAGCATGTGAGTAAGCTTTGCTTAATAAATTTTCTCGTCCATTTTTTTCATCTATGAAAACAACTATGTTTAGAAATTGTACGAAAACAGATACCGTGCAAAAAGCATCGATTGTTTTCAACGAATGGGTTAGTCAAGAGTTCAGTCTGTTTCGTAGAGCAACATCAGTTGAACTCAAATGAACAGTTGGACAGATTCCGATTCATGATAATGTTGGTAAAGAGATTATTATTCGTTATAATACTAATATGAATAGTGGATCAAAATGTTATACTGATGTTAATGGACGTGAAGTTCTCGAACGCATTCTTGACCATCGACCAACATGGCCTTACTTAGTTGATGAACGAATTAGTGGCAATTATTATCCAATTAATAGTCGCATTTGGATTCGAGATCATGATCGTCAATTAACTGTTCTTACTGGTAAAATAATTTTTTTCCATGAATTGTTTCCATTAGTAGAAATAATTTTGTTTTCAATATCTTTTTTTAGATAGATCAGATGGTGGTGGAAGTATGCACGACGGTTCGATTGAAATTATGGTTCATCGGCGAATACTGCATTATGATTCAATGGGTGTTGATGAAGCTTTAAATGGGACTGCCTATGGTAAGGGTCTTGTCGTTTTCGGCAAACATATTCTTCTTGTCGAACAACCAGAAGATAGTGCTCGACTATATCGAGTAGGTGCTCAGCAGTTGTTTATGCACCCTCTAGCTACCTATTCTCTGCCAAATACACCACCTTATGCGAACTATTCGAATATTTATCGTCAGAGTTGGTTGGCTCTGTCGGATACGATACCACTAAACGTACATCTATTAACATTCGATCAATTAGCTTCTAAACAATATCTAGTGCGTGTTGAACACTATTTTGAATTGAACGAAGATGATATGTACTCACAACCGGTAACGATGGATCTTCAAGCATTGTTTACAAGCATTGGTACCATTGCTGATATGACTGAATTAGTATTGAATGCCAATTTACCACTATCTCAGTTACATCGACTCGATTGGATGACGAAAGATCAAGAATCATCACATGTGAATATGTTCCGTAAGTTAAATTTCATTGATAAATATCTCGAATAATAGACTACATACCTTCATTACTTTTTAGAATCATATTCATCGAATGGAACGATCATCACTCTCCATCCGATGCAAATTGGAACATTTCAAATTACTATTAATTAGACGTTAGTCATGAAATTCCTTTTTTTTTCATCAATGAATGATTTGTGGAAATTTTGAATTAATGCATTTCAAAACATTAAAATAAAACTAAAGACATATTTTCTTCGTAAACAGAGGCTAACAAGTTCAGCTCTAGCTGTAACTAGAGACTGAAGTCAAAAAAAACAATTTCTAACTGAATATTAGTCTTATCGAATCGAATCCTTTCTAACGTATTCACTTCATGATAACTTCTTTTTATATTCAATAGAGGCACAATCGAATGAAAATTGAATTCAATGATTTCCATAATTAATGATAACTAACAAAGAATAGCACTTATATTTCTTTCATTTCTCAGATTTTTAGTTCACAGAGTGTTTAGGTTAGTAGTCCATTGTAGTTTTTTCCATGATAGCTATGACCACCCTGAATGAACCTGGATTATCTACTTTGCCTTGGGCAAAACTTCGTCTGTCATCTTCTTTGCATATATCACAGTCAACATCTACAATGGAAGGTTCATTACTGAACAATGCTATCCATTTTCAAGTATTGCCTAATGCGAGTAAGGGCGGTCAACGGATCTCTCTTGAAAATGCTCGACGTTCCTGCAGTATCCAACGATAAGGATTTGAAAAAATCTGAACTTCGACTTGATTTTATATCAAGCAAAATTTATGCTGACACAATTGATAGACAATTATCATTGCCAAAAAGAAATATTATTAAAAATAGACAGGATGTAAAATTGTATAATATTTTTTGTGAATTCAATCCAAACAGAACCGAATTGAATATACAGTTTAAGTAAAAATTATTCAGACACTCGCATGTTTCTTGATGTGTGAAGCAAAAAGAAGAGATCGTTTTTTTTTCAACAATAGATAGCCTTCACTTCATCCATAGTCTCAATAAAAAATGAACAGCATTGACAATCATCTCCAATTATGGAACATTTTTCCGTGAAAACTTTCGATTTCTCAATATAATTCGAGCAGTTTTCTCCTATCTTTCGTGCAAAAGTGCTTATTTTCTGATATCAAATTAGTACCATGTGAAATCTAAAGAGCAAACAGAATGAGTGCCATATATTGTATGATTTTGAATGAAAAAAGGTAACTTCTGAGAGATAAACTATATTAAAAAGAATAAGTCTCTTGAGCGTTGTCAATACGATGGTATGAATAAAAAGTTATCGTAATATTTTTCAAAATCAGGTTGTGAGACTGAAGGCAACATCCACACTCATGACGGTTTTTCATCCGTACTATCACGTTAAAAATGCTGAAAGGATCTGCTCTTTTAAAAATAATTTACGTGCCAGAAGTTATCTTTCTTTATTCAAAATCCTACGAATAGAAGAAACTTGTTGTGCTCATTCTAGTACTGTGCACATGATGCAATGCTGATGTCGGAAAAGTAAGCACTTTTGTATGAAAGGCAGAAGAATCTTGCTCTGAATTTATTAAGGAGTCGAGAGCTGTCAGGAAAGGGTCCCATAATTTGAGACGAAAATCAATATCGCTGACTTTTATTGAGACCAAATGCACGAATTGAGGGCTGCCTATTGATGAGAAAAAGAAAAAAAATAATTTGTTGTTTCTGCTTCAGAAATTATGAAACATGAACAAAAACGCAAGTGTTTGAAAACTTTTTGGACCGACTCTTAGTGTATGCAGAGAAAGCTTTACTTAGTTTAAGTTAAGGTAAATGGTTGGCCCCTAATTATGAGTCGATTCACGATTTGGTTCTGAATCTACCCATAGTTACTTCTTGAATGCTCTATTCTTATTCGAATGTAGGTGTATATCTTCTCTTTGAAAACAGTCACATCCACATCAATGACCTCTTGATGTAAAAGTCATTGTGGGTGTGAGTGTAGATGTGAAACTGAGTCGAAGATTGATAGATACCAACACCCACACTAATGCATTGACAATATTTGGATTAATGCGGTGATTAATTGTCGATTAGAAATTTCGTATACATTTCTGGGTCCTTTTTTCTTTTGAATAATTCAATTTCAGTCTACATACGTTTAAGAGTGAGAACTCGAGTGCGCATGAAGACTTTTATGACGAGATACATAAAATTTCAGATGTTCTGTACTAAAAGTATTTAAAAATCTTGTCTAAAATAGAAAAGAAGGCAAAGAAAAAAGCAACTCTTATAATATCGAACAGAATAAGTCTTGTATTAGACAAAAAAAGTGAAATATTGTTTTCGATAGGACAACATTTGAGAGAACAAGAAAGATATATTGCAATCATAGATAAGTCATTCTAAGCGCAACTGTACAGATGTAAAGTAAATTGCAAAAAAGCAATATTGCCGCCACCGTGTGTATCGACGAAATATTGTTTTTTTCCATCATAAGCAAAATTTTTCTTTAACAACTTTGAAACAATATCGAAATTTGAATACAATGTGAAAAGTTAAAACATTCTGCTGGAGAAAATTCGACGCAAATTTTCAAATCTCTGTTCAATATTTCAATGGTGCATTATATTCTTTTCACGGAGCCCAGATTTAGGTCAAAACATTGCCAATACTACAGAAGTGTTTTATTTCAAATATAGAGACTTTTTTCATAATTCAACGGGGTGTGGATGTGAGGGTGTGGGTGTGGGTTTGGGTGGGTGTGTAAGCAAGGGGAAACAGCAGAATCCATGAATCCATTTGAATCCATTTGAATCCACTTGAATCCACTCTGAAATGAAATTCTTAGAATTATAAAAATATGATAGTTTTCATTTTCTCAATTCTCTATTGAAAGTAGAGAAAAAAAAATTAACAAAAAGAATATTTGCGAAGACTGCAGGAATCAATCAAGAAATATTTATATTAAAAAGTTTTTTTATTATCAATAATTATATTATTTATTTGTTTAAAAACCAACTGTAAAATGTAAAAAAAAAAAAATAAAAATCAAACGGACATAAAAATATAAAAATTCAATACTTGATAGAACCGATTAACTATAAAAGAAAAAAATAAGTGAATTATTAAGTTAAAAACATCAATTTAATATAAAACCTTACTATATAAGAGAACACGAAAGAAGTAATCGAAGAAGTACAAACAAGACAATGTTCGGCATATAAAAATTATCTTCTTCTTGTTCTTTTTGCTGATTCTCTTGTGTTATGTGAAGATTCTATTGTTTGAACTTTTCTTTTCATTTGTCTTTTAGTTTTTAATGATGATGGTTGTTCGATAATGTTTTCATCACAAGTTTCATCATCTTCTGTTGATTTGGAGATAGAAGATGCTGTGACTGAAGTTGAATTCGATTGTATTGTATCTGATGATGGTATAATAGGTATCGAATTTGGTGATGCAATTTGTTGAAGTACATTAGCTGATGTGGTCAATGGTTGCTGATTATTTGTTGATGATGGTGATGATACTGTAGGATTATTAATATTTTTTTTTAATGCAGGACATTCATTAGTTAAACCTTGTAAATGACGATAGAAATTTGACAGTTGAAATTTTCCACGTCTAAATACTAATGTTGTCCATTTTTCACAGCAGCACTTTATATTACATTTTAATGTACCACTTGAATCATTTTGTAATGAAATAAAATAATCCTTGCCTTCAACTAAAGAAAATCGTTCATTATTATCTTTTGATTTGTTGTTCTTGCACCAGTTATTTAATGTATCAATTATATATGATTTATGTTCAGCAACTGATAAATTAGAAGATTTTGATGGTATAGTTTCTCGTGAGCTATCGGATACAACAGATGACGTAGGTTTTCTTATTGTTGATGATGTATCTGTAGTTATAGTTAACGATGATGATAATTGATTGCGTTTCGAAGATTTAACTAATCTTGCATCATCAACACATTTTTTCTTCAACAAACTAATGAGATATTCTATATTTCCTTTAACACCAGGTTGTATAATACATGTACCATCATCTTGCATATAACCATATTTATTTTTTAAATACATCGAGACTTTTGCTCTTCACGTTCATAATAGAATAAACATCATCTGTCATCAACAATGACTTCACACTATTAATACCTTGTAATTCGAGTAGAACAGCAGCAGCATGACCAGCCTCTTCCTTAACAAAATCAATAAAATTATCATCACGTAATGACATTATATTTGATGGCAATACAGATGTATCAATAAGAATATCTGTTTGAAACATGTTTGAATATATTATCAATTATCTATAAGGAAAAATATAATTATCTATAAAGAAAAACTTCTCTCCCAAATGACACATATTGAAAGGAAGAAAATATAATGGATATCATCTTTGAATCATGAGTCATAATCCAGTAAAAGAATTAGCCAATAGTTTCTGAAAAATTTGTCTCTATATATCGTGATTAACACTTGTTGATTTTTAGCGACATTCCATCTTTTACGATAATGGTTTTTTTCAGATTATCGGTATATGATTCATCACAGCTGTTTATCAACTAGAATTTTGTTAACTGTCATAACTCAGAGTCTTTGAACATATTCTACACTAACACTATTCAACTTATGTTTTCTATTTTTTCTAGATAAACAAAAGACTCGTTATTTTTCTTCTGATGGATGATACGATGACAGATAATGTGTTTTCTTTAAAAAACGATGAATTTTATGGTTTTATTCATAGATTAGTTGGTCAACACATAGTGGACATTTTAAAGTTTCAATCAATAACATCTACACAATCTTTAATTCGATATCCAAATATTTTTGATATATTTAATATGAAATGTTCAGAGCCTGATTTCTTGTCGATTAGAGAAAAGTCATGTTTCGAGCTTGAAGATGGTCAATTTATCGTAAAAGTCGGATTAATTAATAATTTAAATTATTTACTTGATTTTTTAAAGCAACAACAAAACAAAATAAGTGAAGATAGTTATATGGATGTAGATTCAAACTTAACATTCGATTTTATTAACAAACATCCATTGTTAAAAAACTTGGTTCATTGGTATCAGCGAATTGGAAGTGAAGGTGTTACTAATACAGACAAAAATGGTTTTTTAATAGATTTTATTAATACTATTACTAATAATTTCACAAAATCAAGCAATCATTTTCAATACAGTGACAAAATCAAGGACTTCGCTTTATGTTTATATATTTTAGGTGGAAAATTAACGTATGAATTTATTCGATTAAATATACCCGGCTCTTTACCAAGTTTAACAATGTTGACTAAATTAATTTTAAATTCAAATTTAAAAATTAGTGAAGCAGAATTTCGATTCGATCAGCTTCAAAAACATTTTGAGAATCTGAATCTTCAATATGCATTCGGTTCTGAGGATGCCACTGGTGTTATTAAAAAAATAAAATATGATTCAATAACAAATAAATTTATTGGATTTCCTACGCCACTTGAGCATGGGGTACCAATTAAAGAATATTATCCCACTGATTCATTGGATACATTGAAGTTATGGTTCAATTCAATTGATAAATCATCGTTATTAAATGTACATATGATTCAACCAGTACAATCAACGACTCAAAACACAATTCCAAGTCCTTTTTTACTATCAGCATATGGTATTGATAATACGGCTACAGCGAATGATATATTACAAAGATGGTGGCATATATTCAATCAGTGTTTACAAAGAAATATAAGAATTATTGGTTTTTCTACTGGTGAGAAAATAACTAAGTATTTTTAATTCAAATTTTATCAAAGAGTTACTGTTTTTTTTATAGATGCTGATGCTAAATATGTACGTGCTATGCGATTAATGAGTGGAGTTTTTGCATCTCTTCCAAATTTTCCAGTTCATCAACATCAACAAGCTTTTACAGTAAAATTAAAATCACGTTGGCCTTGGTTTTTTTTACGCGAACAACAACTATTATTATTTTTTCAAGATGCGACACATCTAGCTACGAAATGGCGTAATCGTTTATTATCGTCTACAGCTGAATTACGTCTTGGTGACCAATCGATATCGATCAATCATTTATATAGCATTATTGATAATGGAAAATTTACTAAAATTGATCATGGCTTGACGAAATCTGATATTAATCCTAAAGATCGTCAAAATTTTAGTTCTTGTGTAAAATTAACATCTGATGATCTATTTAAAATTTTAAAAGACAATGCTGATACTCATGGAACCTTGATTTATCTACAGATGTTAAAAATGATTATAATGGCTTATATTGATAAAAAAACAACGATTGCTGCGCGTGAGTATGCTTTTTTTTCATGTTGCTTGAGTAAGAGCGTCAAACTCTTCACTTCAGATGTGTCACATCTAATAAAACTTTATTTTAGGTCTTCGATCTTCTTGGTGCGTTGTATTTTTCTGTCGAATATGGTTAACATGGATCAAATTGAAAACATTCAATACAACACAATTCTCAGAAAAAAACAAAAGCAGATATTTTATCACTAGACCAGCGTATTTGTCCGTGGAAATAAATGCACATAATTTATTATATTTAATTTTACTTGTTCAACAAAAACAACTACCACCACAATCATTACATATTCATACTTTTAGCTCGCAAGCCTGTGAATCAATTTTTCGAAACACGCGCGCATTAAGTGGAGTCTATTCAACTATAGTCAACTTCACTGTACATGATTTTTTACGACGTGCTCAAAGATTGTCACTACTTAATGATATTAAATTCAAGCATTTAAATGATAGATCAGTTAATAATTTAGTATTTCCAGTTCATTACAAACATCGACATGATCATCAATCATTAGCTACACAAAGTCAAAGAGAGGTCGATCTAATAGATGTCGAACAAATCATTACTGAGGCTTATCATGAAGCAATTGATATGCTTAGTGGCTTAGAAATATTGAATTTACTGAACGATAAAAATGTTCTTGGCTTAAAACCATTAAGTGAATATGTATTTAAACAGTTAAATTCAAATTCAAAGATGTACGACTACTCATCTCAACTCAGCCATATGGATGATGGAGAATTTGAAATCGATGATGATGATGATGATGATGATAATGATGAAGATAATAGAACAGCAGCTGATCTTAATATTAATGATGGTTTTTCCTCAAATGATGATTACGATGATGAAGATGAACAAGATGATACGCGAAATTTAATAAATACAACAAAAGAAGAATTTTCGGGAATGAAAGTCCTTAATACGGTTCAGTCTCACATAGAAAATTCTTATTTTAAAGTTAAAATCAATGATGATACAAAATATATGCATAAACAAACTGCTTGTTGGCTATTAACCGGCGAAAAAAGTAAAATTTCAAACGACCGATTGCTTCGAGTACAGCAGACTAATAAAAAAAATTGATTCTTTTTTGTTTATGAAACACTTTCTTGTATTTTTTTAATAAAATAAGCAATATTTTGCTGACTTTGAAGTTTTAGAATAAATGAATGTGCTGAATAAGAATAAGAGAAAGATGGTGTATTTGTCTCTAAATCAAGACTATTTAATATTTCATCTAATAGTACACATGATAGAAAGAAAGAAAAAAATACCGGACTCAAATTTTTATAATGGATTTCTGAAGATAGACAAGAATTTTACCAGATTCTGTGACTCCACCTGACTCCACTTGACTCCACCTGACTCCACCTGACTCCACTTGACTCCACCTGACTCCACTTGACTCCACCTGACTCCACCTGACTCCACTTGACTCCACCTGACTCCACTTGACTCCACCTGACTCCACTTGACTCCAAGGGACTGGAGTCAGCTGTTTCCCCCTTGCATATTTGACTGTCGAATATTTTGCCCACTGTATATTCTTGCATTTCCGACTTTCATCAAGCGCATGCGCCGCAGTGACACCTAATTTTTCTGATTTTCTAAAAATTAGTCTGATTCGTACTGGTTATGGCGAATAATGCAGTTTTTTTAAATATTCGGTACTCTTATGAGAGGACACCCAATAGAGAGGATCGGAATTATTCACCCAATATACAATGTATCAGAATGTTTCTTAAAAAATCAGGGCCACTGTGACACATACAAACGCGTTTGCTATGTAAAGCAAATTGGCATTGAACTATTCATCCACTATAAGATGTAGCATGAAGTTTGGACTGGAGATTTCTGAGAAATCAACAACTCGTAGAAAATGTATAATCATTTATATGAATGAGCATGAAACGAAACATGTCTCCATTAACATTATTTTCAGTCTACTATATTGAATTAGTATCCTTTCTTTATCAATGTACATAGAAGAATGATGTTTTTATCACTTAATTGATTGAAGTCGACAGTAAAACAAAAACTAGATACTTCCGAAACTCTTCACTACGAAAACCATATCGATTTACATCAATTCATTTCTAAACAACGCTGACAGTAGTTCTTCTGGCTATTCTCGTTTTAAGTACCATGACATATGAACAAAAGTCAAGGTNAGGGTCCAAAAAATGTCCACTTTACCTAAAGTCCTCTATGAATATGTGGGACTTTACATATCTTATGAAATGTCACGTATATCAGTAGTGATAGGAAGAGCAAAATATAAATGCTCCACTAGCGGATATTTCTATATTCCAGCGGACTTTTCTATTCTCTTCAGGACTTTTCTTTTTACATGATTTTATTTATCGAGGTGAATATAAGAACATTTGAATAGATTTAAATCGAAGAAATAATCTATTGTATATATATGATGGACAAGAGGATGCTTCTTTCTGCCAGCGGACTTTTCTATTCTTTTCAGGATTTTTCTTTTCACATGATTTTATTTGTCGAGATGAATATAAAAACATTTCGATTTATTATATTCACCTATTTCTTTTTCTTCCCTTCATTTTCACATTCAACATGAAGTTGAGTCAATCTATATGCTTATTCGATTTATTATATTTACCTATTTCTTTTTCTTGCCTTCATTTTCGTATTATATATGAAGTTAAGTGAAACTTTTTTTGTAATTCATGCATTTTCGATAAGACAAATAAGTTTTTTTTCTTTTGACTTCTATTTAAAAATATAAAATTGAATATTTAGTTGTCTATGGACATCTATTTTATGAAAATGATACAATCTTTTTTTTTGTTCTCATGAAATAAGTACGTAATATTATTTTTTCGGAATATGTTTTACATCTATATCATGACTTTTTATTTCTTTGTTTCATTTTATTCTTGTTTTTATTTAAAATAAATGATTATATGTCAAATCATTTGTTATCTATTTCTATAGATGTCATTCAATTATATTTTTATCTTAATATTCTTTTATTTTCATAGATAGATAAAATAGTCGAATGAAACGAATTGTGCTCGAAAAGTCCTTGTGTTAAAAGAAAAGTGACGCATGAAGGTAGTAAATTCCACCTAAAGCCCGCTAAGTAAAAAAAGTTCCGCTGAAAAATAGAAAAGTCCTCTTACAAACAATAATGATAATTCACTGAAAAGAGAAAAGTCCTTCCGTTAAAAAAAGTGACGCATGAAGATAGTAAAGTCCATCTAAAGTCCGCTGAGTAAAAAGAAAGTTCCGCTGCATAATAGAAAAGCCCTCTTATAAAAAGTATTGATAATCCATTGAATAGAGAAAAGTCCTTCTGTTAAGAGAAAAGTGACTCATGAAAATAGTACAGTCCCCTAAAGTCCGCTGAGAAATAGAAAAGTTGGATATGCTATCAGCCTGTACTATATCGAATCTATTAGTGAATGCTACTTTCTTCAGAGGACTTGTATAACTATATTTTTTTTCTTTTTCTTTTACTCTTTGTATTTCAATATATGGCTAGGGAATTCATAGAATGACTAATAAAAAGGATGATGGCTTATCTTCTTTGTATATCTAATGTACTAGCGGATATTTACTTCTTCATAGGACCTTTCAATTCTACTGGTTCTTTTTTTCTTGTTCTTCATTGTATCTATTGAGAAATAGACAAAACATATTCAACAATTGTCAACAAGATGATTGCACATAGTTTTCATATATCTAGTATGCTAATGGATATTTGTTTCTCCAACGGACTTTTCTGTAGCTGTTTTTTTTTACGTTTATCAATTTAAACATGCAGTTATGGAATACATAAAATGACTATAAATAAGATGAGTGAGAATATATTTTTTTTCATCAAATGTGACGCCGATAGTTTGTTATTTTATCGGACTTTTGTGCAGCTATTAGTGTTTTTCTTTCTTTATTTTATCTTTTTAAACTTGCAGTTGTAAAATTCATAGAACTAATATAAATAAGATGACGGTTTATTTTCTTGGTATAACTAGTGCATTTGTGGATATTACTTTATTCAGTGGACTTTTGTAGAAATGGTAGTATTTTTCTCTTTTTATTTTACCTATTTCAGCATAAATATATGAAAAAATAAAATGATTAATATCCATGTCAAAAAAGAAAAATGATGGGTATTTTTTGAATACGTTTTGATAGAAACTAGGTAGAGAAATGCGGTTTTCACCGTTTAAAAGAGGAGATGAAACTACATCGAATGGTTTATATCAGATTTTTCTGAAAAGTTATCTCAGAGTCTCTCACCAATTTTTTCAAAAATCTTGTCTTTTGAATAAGTTTATAAGGTGCATGTTTTCGTTGAAAAATGAAAAAAAGGTCAATTTTCTATGAAAAATCTGTCGATAACATGCAGTAAAATGTGCATAACTCATGATTGGCTACAACTTATAACATAGGACTTACATATTTTATAGAGCTTCAGTTAACGGTGCTAGTTCACTCCTGAAAATTGAGATCGTAAAACTTTTACGTTAGACAATCTTTTGTGTTTAGCAAACTTGATAGTAGACTCTGAGAAAACTTATTCAAGAAAAACTGATATAGACGGTTCGACGCAGTTTCATTTCCTCTTTTAAACGATGAAAGTTGCATCTCTCTACATAGTTTCTATCAAAAGTTATTCAAAAAATACTCA